GATCTCTGTGAGTTCAAGGCTAGCCTGGTCTACATAGGGAGTTCCAGGACAGCTGGGGCTATAGGGAGACCCTATCTCAAAAAGACCAAAAAAACCCCCAAAACACAAAAACCAACCAAACAAACAAAAAAACCCAGGGTCTCTCTAGCCCCAGCCTGCCTTGATCTCACAGAGAAACCCCTGCCTCTACTTTGCCACTTCAATAGAAGACTAGAACATTGCTTTAATACTCAACTGTTCTTTATTTTACTTACTGCAAATTGTACAGTCCCAGAAGACCCATTCCTCGAAAATCTGTTTTTGGATCATCACCTTGGAAACCAATTTCACACCACTGCTTAGAAATCCTAGATTCCAGTGGAGTGTTGGGCTTCAAGAATTTCCATAACTAGAGAGAGAGAGAGAGAGAGAGAGAGAGAGAGAGAACCACTTTTTGATGCACACACACAAATACCCTTTCTTATTGGTTCAGATTTTGTGAACTACATTTTTAGGAGGGGATTTGCAAAGATTAATATATACAAATACATTACAATTAAAGATGCCATCATCTTTCAATTATATAACAGTTCTCAAAGTATGGTCTGAAGATTCCTTGAAGGTACTTAAGACCTTTTCAGCCTGAGTTATAAAAAACCCAAAACACTATTTCCTGATAAAAGCAAGAGGTTATAAGCACTTATTCTCATTTCAAGAGTGAACGGTAGAATTTTCTGGACAGTGTTTGACATTATGAAGTCATTGTTTTGAAGGCCATGGTGTGTGCTTGGATATCTTAGTGTTTTAAACCCTTCTGTCTTAGTTTCTAATCAGAAATGAGGTACACAGATAATGTCCTACAAAGATGCTCTTTTGAGCTCTCTAAAATATTTAAGACTACAAGGTAAAAGGAAAATGGAAAAATTTGAGCCCATTGGCTAGTCAACCCGAAAGAAAAATTTTCTAACATATCAGAATTTTTAGAGGCACTATTAGTAAAAACAAGAGAGGACTGGTTCCTTAGGTCTCCCCAGTAACAGGAATGAATGTAAACATTATCATATAGGTAAAGGAACACCAGCAATGCTTGTAGCCTTGAAATATGGTATCATCTTCAAGAGTTGCCTACAAGAATTTCAGTCAAAATCAACTATGTCCAGGTATAAATTCTGAACATTATACCTTTCACTGCTTAAATAATTAACTTATTTTTCCAAGTTTTTTTTTTTAATAGAAAACTAGGTTTAGCACACATCATGGGAACTAGGCAGGTAGAGAAATGACAGATATCAATACTCATTGCTCTGTAAATATGTGATGCTTAAATCTAGTAGATGCTATCTCTAGTAAGGATAGGTGTACATGAAAGATTACTTTTTAGTAGCATATTTAGTACATATTTTCATTATAGACACAACATAAACATAAATATATACATGCAAATACGTGTTCTTTGTGTGTTGGGGGGATGGAATGGGGTACATGAACATATCTACACAAGTGAGTGGGGCCAGAGGGTGATGTATGGTGTCTTCCTGAGTTTGTAAGCTATGGCAGCAAACTCTGTAAATGATGGTAACTATCTGGGCGGTGAACTGTGTGATCTCTGCTGTAACTATTTCCTTTTCCTTTGTAACAGGATATCAACCAGAGACTGTGAAAACACATGGCCGTGGTCTTCTTCCAATAAAAAGTTACTTACAAAAATGGGTTGTGAGCCAAATTTCGTTCACCTGCTTTTGTCTTCTGACTCTTGTTCTAAACAATATTGTGAAGTAGGAAGCAAAGGCATTATCCGTCTTAAAGATGAAGATGTCTGAACAAGGGCAGCTATATACCAGCATCAGCCAGCCCCTGGAAATACAAGCGTGGACTAGGCACGGCTTTCTCTGAAGAAATGGTGCAGCACTGTAGTTAGGAGTCCTATCTAACAATGTGAGCTTGCACAATTTTTAACTGCTCAGACTGTTTCCTCTCCATGCCCCAAAATGGGATAACACCAATAAATCAGCAAAATGTTATTGTGAGAACTGAATGAAGAAATCTGTACAGCATTCCCTGTAACGACTGGAACACAGCAAACATCCAGCGAGGGTCTCAACATCATGGCTATATTGGTCTCATACTGGAATTCAAATACACCAATGGGCAGACTAAAGATCCCACTTCTATGTGTGTTTGGGGGAAGCTAAAGAATATTTCAATGAATAAGAATTTAAAAACTCAGGTGGCTCCTGTGGAGAGAATAACATGAAAAAGACTAGGCGCCATGAGTACTCATGAGCCCACATGTTTAAAATTGACAAAAACCAGGACCAGCCTTATCAAAAGGCTGCAGGACGGGCAGGCGCCGGTCAAGCTTCACAGATCAAGCCATAAACAAGTTTTACGGGTAGAACTCCTGACCACCCTGAGGGCCCGATACCAGGAAATCAAGGGAAAAACATCTGTGCCTCTGAGGTCACCTCCCATTTAGCAATCCCACTTCCCCTTAGCCCCGACCCTTACCCCATATCTCTGCATACTTTTGAAATTATTGTGTGTGTGTTTGAATTAACCAATAACTGCTCTTCTGCTTCTGTACCCTGCTTCTGCTCTATAAAAACTGCCAAACCCCAACCTGGGGCGCGCAAGTCCTCCGAGGAGACTCTGTGCCCACAGGTACCTGTGTATCAAATAAACCTCTTGCTGTTGCAACCCGAAAGGCTGACTTGTCCTCAGTGGTCTCACTCTTACAAAGATGTGCTTGTTTTCCTGTGCCTGTGTTTCCTCATAGAGTTTATTTCCAGTTTTGTTAATTTTCCTGCAGATTAATGATTTTACTTTTTAGCTGAATACAATTCCATTGTATCATTGTGTCATATTTCTATTTCCTGTTCACCAGTTGATGGGAATCTAGATTGATTCTATTTCCTGGCTATTGTGAATGAAATGAGAATAAAGCAAAATGAGCAAAGGTATGGAGTCCTTTGGTTATGTGACCAGGGATGGTTAACTGTGTGTTAGGGTTTTTCTGATTTTAGCTTTTTGGGTGATCATTGTGGCTGCGCCAGTTTGCAATCGCTCAAACAGTGAATAAAGATCCTCCTTTTTCCACAACCTCACCTACATTTGTTTCTTCTTGATTTCTTGATGAAAGCCAGGCTGAGTGGAGTGAAGTAGAAACCCACAGTAGTTTTAATTGGTTTGTATCTGATTACTAACATTGAAACTTTACAAAAGTGTTAATTAGCCATTCTTATTTCTGCTTTGAGAAATCTTTGTTCAGATCAGTAGCCTATTTTTTGATTGGGT